ATGGACTGCTTTCTTTGTTGATAACTTTCTTAATATTTAAGTTTTATATATACAGGGTGTTCGACAACAGGTGGGCAATATTTTAAGGGATGATTCTAGGGATCAAAATAAGACGAAAATCAAGAATAACGAAATAGCGTTTACGGCTTTGTTTTCCAGTTATTAACGTTTAAAAATTCGAGTAAAAAGCGCCAAAAACCTGCAATCCGCTCAGCACCGACAATCGAACGTCAGCTAAGCGGGGGTCGGTACAGTCATAACCAAGAATCGTTGAATAGTAGAAACTTATCTCGTGCTATTCTCCTATTTTTTTTTTTAATCTTCACATTGAATTTCCTTTAAATAACAACCACCAAAACAATGTTACATTAAATGTTCAATATGTCCATCGTTTTGTTCAATACATACGCGAATGCGTTTCCCGAAATTGAGTCTCATGCAATGAAAATCGTCTGAAACGTTTCGAATATTCGTTGTTTTAATTCCTCGCCGTTCGTTACCGTTGTTGTGTACACTAAACTTTTCCGGTGTCCCATAGAAAAAATTTCCAAGGATTGGGGTCAGGTGACCGGTAAAATATTTGGGTAGGTAGTAATTATAAAAGAGTCTAAGTGAGTGAGAGAGTTACTTCAGGTAAAGGACAAATTTTGGTGAGTTGCAACGAAACAATAAATGACCCTGATATTATTAGAGCTACGTGGAGTCGAGGTGAACGCCGACTATCTTAAAATAATAGCTATTCTAGGTTTTTCCTAATTTACTTAATCCGTTTGACTTCTCGTATTAGAAATTTTAAACCATGTTTATGGTGTGGCTATACCGGACTGAAAATTAGTTGCCGCTCTTTGAAAAAAATAGGCGACATCATATCCGAGTCATAACCCTGTTCGCCGTAGGTAAAGGACAAATTTTTGTGAGCTGCAACGAAACAATAAATGATTTGGTTTTTTTATCTCGAAAACGTACTCGATACTTTATCTTGGTACTGCAGCATACGGCTTTTTCTTCCTATTTTTTATCTTCACATAAGAAAATCCCTTAACACAGTTAAGCGACTATTTGTCCGATTTATTATCCATTCTAGCCATTATGTTTTATATTTTTAAACATTTGATAGCTCTGAAGGAAACTGATTCTTCAAGTCCGAAAATAGTACATAGCAGTATTTACAAACTTTATAATTAAAATCCATTTTCTTACGTTTTCAAGATAAAAGAAACAAATTATTTTAAGAAATGACCGTACCCACCATAAAAATGAAAATTTCGAACACGAGATGTCAGACGGATTAAGTAAATTAGGACAATCCCAGCATACCTATTATTTTATGATAGTCGGCGCTCAACTCGGCTCCACGTACCTACAATAATATCAGGGTCATTTATTGTTTCGTTCCAGCGCACCAAAATTTGTCCTTTACCTAAAGTAACTCTCTCACTCACTTAGACTCTTTTATAATTACTACCCACCCAAATATTTTAGCCAATGAAATTCTTTTCGTATTTTTACCCCTCCACGCAGAAATTTAACGTATACCCTAACACTATGCGAAAGCAGCAGATTCGAATTGACAGTCCTTAGATACGTTGCAAGGAAGTGTCTGTGAAGTGTCTGTGAAGTGTTTCATTATTGTAATCCATAATGGAATACACTAATGAAGAATGTGCAGACATTCATATGTGCTACGGTCGAGCGGATATGGTAAGGCTTGCGAAGCTCGAAGGATTTATCAACAATTATTCCCACAACGGAAGATACCAAATTCGAAAACATTTACGAGGATTCATCAACGATTAAGAACTGCAGGTTCGTTCTGCCGAACGAAATCTGGCGGACATTATCAACGGGATCCGGACTTAAAGGAGAAAATTATGCAGCACGTAGAAGAGGATCCATCCACCAGCACGAGGGACATTGCTGCAGTAGAAGGTGTCAGCCACAACACAGTGTGGAGAATTTTAAAAGAGCAACAGATGCATCCGTACCATTTTCAACGGGTCCAAGCATTAGAAGCAGGAGACATGGAAAGAAGATTGACATTTGCAACATGGATGTTGGAAAAAATTACTGCTGACCGACACTTCCGTTCGAAAATATTGTTCACCGATGAGGCAACGTTCACCAAACACGGTGTGCAAAACTGTCACAACAATCATATGTGGACCACTGAAAATCCACACGCCATTGTAGTTGCAAATTCTCAGCGGCAATTTTCAGTTAATGTTTGGGCCGGAATTGTCGGTGACCACATTATTGGTCCAGTTGTGCTGCTTCATCGGTTGACAGGACAGAATTATTTAGAATTCCTGCAGGACAAATTGCAATCGTGTTTAGAAAAAGTGCCATTAAACATTCTACAGGATATGTGATTTATGCAAGATGGTGCACCACCACATTGGGCGGGGTACGTGAGAAATCACCTGAATTCCAAAACAGGTGGATTGGCCGAGGGGGACCCGTCGCTTGGCCTGCACGTTCACCCGACTTCAATCCCTTAGATTTTTTTCTATAGGGACACTTGAAGAATTTAGTGTATTCAACACCGATAACGAACAGTGACGAATTACAACAACAGATATTGTTTACATCGGGAATAATTCAAAATGTTTTAGACGATTTCCACCGGATGAGACTGAATTTCGAAAAACGCATTCGCGTATGTGTTGAACAGAACGGTGGACATGTTGAACATTTGATGTGATGTATTTTAGTGTTAATAGTGATTATTAGTTAATGTGAGTTTAATGTTAAATTTTTTATTTTTAAATTTGGTGATTGTGTGGTGCAGGGGGAGGGGTATTAGTGGGTGTATGTACACTGTTTTAGTGTTAATAGTGATTATTAGTTAATGTGAGTTTAATGTTAAATTTTTTATTTTTAAATTTAGTGATTGTCTGGTGCAGGAGGAAGGGTTTTAGTGGGTATATCGAAAACGGAGAGTCCCACACTACCGAATTTTGTTTCGGTGTGCGTAACAGCATTTCCCCTCCGTGGAGATAAAAAATAAAAAACAAAAATAAAAAAAAAAGGAGAATATCACGCGGTAAGTTTCTACTATTCAATGATTCTTGCTTATGACTGTACCGACCCCTGCTCAGCTGACGTTCGGTCGTCGGTGCTGAGCGGGTAGCAGATTTCTGGCGCTTTTTACTCGAATTTTTAAACGTTAGTAACTGGAAAACAAAGCCGTAAACGCTATTTCGTTATTCTTGATTTTCGTCTTATTTTGATCTCTAGAATCACCCCTTAAAATATTGCCCACCTGTTGTCGAACACCCTGTATGTATGTATGTAAGTACATATGATAAAAGAACGTGATATAGAAGTTATTTCTACAATTGAATACTACCGTTATTCTAACTATTACAATTCGTAAATGCGAAGACTTACGAGGAAAATTGGTTAGGATAGAATGTAAGGATATAAAGAAATTTCAATCTTTTACGGTTTGTTAGTTTTATTTTTTATTCGTTACAACTATTATCATTTTATTCTGTGAATAGTCATTAAAATGAAAGACAGAAAAGTATAGTTTGATTTTCTAGTTAATTTGTACTACATATTTCATCAGGTTTCCGGCAACTGTTGCAGCTGGTCCACGCTTATACGATGCTGCATATTTTACCTTTCTATAATATAGGAAACAAATAAAAATATAGTTTAGTAATTGTTATAATACAGTATCAACTGTTAAGCTTGTTAAAAATTTATCTTATTTTGCGTAATTATTCTGTATTTTCGCTTCCTTGCTTTATAATGACGAATAACTGATTTTTTTTTTTCAATTAAACTTTTACTAGTATATTTGTGAGGTTTTTCGATTAAAACAAGATCAAGCATGGCATAATTTGAATTATAGTTATTTATTTACTTATTTATATCTAAATAAGTAAAAATAATGCAAATTATATTGTGTTTGGTCTTATTTTAATCAGAAGAACCTTACAATTACAGTGCTAAAAGTTTCATTTAGCAAAAATGAAAAATAAAACAGTTATTGTTGAATTAATATTGTCTCACTCAAATGTTTTTTCTCGGGCTCTTTAATTCTCGGACCTCTTTCTCTTTCGCTATTTTGTCTTTTTTTACGTTCCCCAGCATTCAAGAACTCGCTCGAGCCGTGTCGTTCTGCCAGCGTCACACACTTTCAGGAGAATCGGGAAAATCCAGCATAATACACATTCTATACTGAAAGAATATACTAACTTATCTGTCTAAAAAAATGTTAATAAATCTGGCAACAGATTTATTTTCGGACTGCTTTTCTGAAGTAATCAGAATTTCACCATTCTCCAGTACAGATCTCCAGTAGGATCTTCCGAGTAGAAGAAAAGTTTCTAATTTTGCGTCGCCTCTGAAAAAGTAGTGTACTATTTAACGATTAAATAAATTTTATTAAATGCTGTGGAATATTGGTGTAAATGAAATAGAAATTATTTCATACTTTTTAGCGCATTTTGAAGTCGGTTGTATTTTTTGTTTAAAATTATTTTATATTTTAATGCCATGCTTCTTTTCTGTGACTAAAGTTTATCCTTTTTTTTTTTAAGGAAACTGAGCTGTTTCAAATTACAATTTGCAATTAAATGAATAGAAACAGACATTAAACTCACCTTGAATTTCTTTTCTATGTACCTTGTATATATATATATAAATAGAAACAGCAGGTACTGATTTAATTTTTATTTTTATTGAAATTCAAAAATGAAACTGTAATTAAACAATCATTGTAGAAAGTAATTCTAATTTGTATTATTTATTTTGCATGGTACTAGACTTCATCATTGAATTATGAAATAACAAATACATTACTGCTTTCTTCCACCAGAACATATGGAATACTTTCATTCGAAACAAATAAGATGATGTACCATTAGCGGACCGTTATGATAATTATATAAATTTGTGCGTGCTAGATTTACGTGCGATCAGCCTAAATTTTCACTTTGACCACTCTCCATTCCGTATTCATAAAGGTGTGACGTTGAATCGAAATCTTGTGTGAAAGTGTATGCCGTCTTGGTAAGAAGTGTATTGGGTCTAACTGAATTCGCTGTTCCCGTATTCAGTGACCGAATGCGGGGGAATTAACAGTATTTCTTTAGCGTGCAACAAAAAAAGTGTTCAGCAATAATGTGCATTCGTTCAGTACTTTGCGTGGTTATAGTGATCACGACAACATGTTTTGTTAATTGTGGAGAAGTAAGTAACTGTTTCAGAATAGTTATTCGTTCACGTAACGCGATCATCGACACTTTATCAAGTGTATCAATAATAACAAGTGTAAGATAATTATTGATGCATTAAACTATGTAATTGTTTAAAGAAATACTTACTAATTTTACTTTAAAGTTATTATATCTATTGCAATTAATAATATACTTTTCTATTATATATTGTGCATTTAAAAGAATCAAGATAATATTATTAAATGTTCTATTGAAAATGGGATTAATGCTTATAGGATTTAATAGAATAATATATAAATTTATCAAAAATTAAATAAACTTTACTTTTAGGCAGATATTAGTCGCTAAGAACAAGTCTTTCGTATTTTGGATTCAGGACAAATAACGGTGATAAAAAGGCTTTAAAATGTTGTACGTTTTTTAGATCGTTTACACAGATGTTTCAAAACTTGTACGATTTTATTTTGAAATAATTGTTGAAACTGTGATTTTTCAAATATTTTATAATATACATATTTATATACATCCTTACAAATAAATAATTATAGAACATGTTCCAGATTTACAAATACCACGCGGAATCAAATGAAAATAAAGAAGCGGAATCAATGATATTTTTAGCGTATTTTAAAGAATATGACGTAAATTATTTATAAATATAAATTATTACATACGTATTCATTTTTATTCTTTTTATTTTCGATCTAGTATTATTACTTACATTAATATCAATTACACCTAACGATAAGATACATTATATGTAGTTTTACATACCTATACATATAATATTAGAAACGTATTTTAACCTTCGGACAGTGTACCATGGAAAGAACCACAGTTTTAATTCAATTTGCTATTTCATGTTATTATCATTTTCTAAATTTTACACTGTCCACTTAAAAATTATTCTTCCAATATAGGAAAGCCTTTCATTAAAAAATTATATATTTAACTTTAGGTTAATATCCTTGTATACGTTCTGTAAGTTTGGATCATGATTGACCTAGGCTTCGCTATTCAAGGGTTAACTAAATATCCTACTTTTTGTAAAAATTCACTGAAATACGTAATGTTAACAACCTTTAAAAGTAAATAAATACTTACAGTTGATATCAGGCGTTGACGTAGTAAACTTAAATAGTACCAAAAATGATGTACCAAATAATACACAAAATGGAGCAAATAGTACGGCAATCGCAGACGATAAAAATTTTTGGGAATGGCTGACTGGTTTTATATCTGCTGGGAATCCTGTAACCACTACTGAACCTTCAACACCAGTGAAACCACACTCATGTTTACCCTGCAGTGAGTTACTATTTTTTAGTACATATTTCATTATTTTAGTGTCACGTTAGGTAATTGTGTTACTCTTGTATTGTACTAAAAGATGCTATCACATCGGCTTATGAGGGAAAATTTCCAACTTCGATATTTTGATTTCAATAAAACTTATTGAAGTTGTCGAGAGCATCGAGTTAGTGTGTAAGGAATGACTTTTTTGGTTAACGTCCACTCTAAGACTTTAAGGGGTGAAGTTATGTCTCACGGTTTTGAGAATTTGTAGTTTTCTTGACATATCTTGGCAACCGTAAGAAATAGAACGAAACATTTAATGACAAAAGTTAATCGTATTAAAGGACTTACTAAATTGCAAAAGAAAAAAATATACAAGGCGCAACATTTAAATTGAAACACTTGTAAGTAGTTCTGTTATTTAAGGTTTCACATAAAAAGTGCTCTGTATACAATTATACTATGTCAAAGAGCGGTAAAATTATTTTTGGTAATTATTTAGAAGTCTGCTTTCCACTCCCATCGTAATATTTTTTGGATATGTGGTGGGTGATGCAATTTAGAACAACTTTTTCCTTTTGAAGTATGTGGCGGTCTCCTTTAGTTTTGAAGATATTTGCAAAAAACTTTTGGTACTACTACAGAGAATTCGGCTCATGCGTAAGCGTTGGTGAGAGCACTCGGCGTTCGCGTTGGTGAGCGGTAGCCGACTGCTTATTTTATGTTTAGATACGGAGAACCGAGTGGCTCCATTAGGCCCGATACTTACTATCGGTTCGGTCCCGGTCCGGGCCCTGGTCCGGTAAAATATACTCCAATGTAAATCTTATGAGAGCATTCACACTCTCCAGCTTCGGTCCAGTCTCACTACGATCTCGCTTCGATCCCAGCCCGGTCCCAATCGCTCTCGAAGAATAGCCACTTGAGCCACTTGTTCGGTCCCGGTCCGGTCTCGATTTCTCACGAAGAATATTTTCCTGGGACGGGACTGCGCTCCCTCGTTTGAAACGAGGGTCTGTACTGTACTTTTGACTGTACTTTGTGCTGTAGTTTTCGCGTTGCAAAGCGTACGTTTTCAGGGCCTGGAAATCGTACGTTTTCAAATGCAGGTACCGAAAACAATATACTTCCTTCTCCGCGCACGTGGAGAAAGTGTCCCTTGTCCCTTTTGCGCGCGAAACCTTACTTGGGTTTTTCCACAATGGTTTCGGGAAAAGCGCACCAAGGACAGGAATGGTCATTCTCTTGGTAGTCATTGTCGCGAACGGTCCGTTACCCTGAAGTTAAAATTTTTGTGCGGTATGGATTCCGAAAAATCATGGAGTTTTGAAACAGGTAATTACATATGTACATAGTTATGGAATAAAATATAAATTTTATTGTAAGATTCATTTACACATAGACTAAAATTAAAAATTAAAAATGCATTTTTAATGTGTAATTTTCAGATGAAATGCTATGATTAACTTATGAACTTATGAAATAATTGAACTTATGAAAACTAGACCAGGTCTGTATGATTTGCAGTCACTTAGTTATAGTGACACTAATTACAAGAAACAAGTGTGGAACGAAATTGGAAAAGCGATAGGTCAATCTGGTAAGTAAAGTGAAAAATTCAATACAAATATATAATTATAGACATTTTGAAAAGACTTATTAGTAATTTATTAAATACATTTCATTACACTTAGGTACACTTAGTACTGAACCTGCAGGTGAATTAAAAAAGTTTTTAAAAATTTCCCTCGTTTCAAACGCTTCACTCTGTGCATTTCCACCTTGTCTCTGTATGTTATTTACATGATTTGTTTCAATATATTCTAAATTTATATCTCGACTATTTCTAATAACGTTATGGAGGATGCATGTTGTTAAAATAATTGTGGCGGCATTTTGAGGCTCAGCTATCAGTCTTCGACAATAAATTCTGAATGTTTGTGGCAACAGTCCAAATGCACATTCGACTAATCATCTTCCTCTGCATAGTCGATAGTTAAATATTCTTTTTTCATTGTCCTCTATACTTTTTGACCCTGGGTATAGCCGCATTAAATATTTTTTTAATGGAAACGCCTCATCGCCTAATATTACGTAAGGTACTACTGTGTTTGTTCCTGGCAGCGGGGAATCCTCAGGAACATTCAATTTGCCACTTTATAAATTTTTTTTAAAAACAGAATTCGCAAAAATGCTATCACTATTTTTTTTTCCCATACGACCCTACATCCACAGCAATAAATTTATAATTGGCATCTACCAATGCCAAAAGTATAATTGAAAACGATTTTTTATAATTAAAAGATAGTGATCCACTATTTGCAGGCGTCTGAATTGTCACATGTTTGTAATCTAGGGCTCCTAGACAGTTTGGAAAATTCCACATAGTCCACATTTCATTTGCTATTTCTAACCACTTCTCTTTACATGGAGTTGGAATATATTCAGCTAATAATATTTCATTAATTGCATTACAAACTTCAAGACAAATACTTTGTACGGTTGAATGACCAAGACGATAGCTAAAAGCAATCGTTTGATAGGAATCTCCAGTAGCTAAAAATCTGAAAGTACAAAACGGTCAATAAAATTAATATTCAATTTGATTTGATTTTATTTAATAAATGTTTTATTTCCGTAATTACAGGTGCAAAGACTCGTTGGGAGTCGCTACGAGGCCAGTATCGTAAATATCTGGCCAAATTAAAAACTAGAAGCGGATAAGCTGCAGCAAAGATTACTAAATGGCGATTCTATGACCAGATGGCATTTTTAAATACGTTTATCAATGTTAAACGGCCGCGTTTATCGTCCATAACCGAAGATGAAAGTATTGAAGAAGGTGTAGAAAGGGAGGTTGAAGAAGCAGAATTGACTCCGTTAATGCACAAAAGAAAAAATAAAGCCAAGACTAATACACAGGAAGAAAACGCTTCCACAACACTCATGAAATACCTTTTAGAAGAAAAAGAAGACGGACGAAATAATGTGCATCCCATAGATACATTTTTCCAATTAATGGCTACTACAGTTAAAAATTTCAACGCAAAAGATCAACATATTGTAAAAACAAGAGTATTTAGTTTAGTAAGTTAAATAGAAGAAAAATATGTATTAAGTTCCTCTTCTCCATCCTTTTCACCATCGGCAGCCACTCACCAACAGAACTATTTTTCACACGAACCGCACACCTCATATGAAATACCATCCCCACCACATTTTATTCCACCATTACAGTCAACCCACAATAGCAATAGTATGATCGACCCACAATATGATCCACCCTATCCGTCCACAACTCCCCCAGCTCGTAATAATTTTAATGACAATTAAAGTCTTATAAGTGTACATAGTGTATATAGTTTATAAGTGTATATAGATTGTGTTTATAATATAATAAAAATATAATAAGTGTATATAATATAACAAAAACAATTACTTACCTTAGACATACCATTAATTTTTGTCTCGGAGAAATAGCTTTTCGAAACGTGGTATTTTTCTTGGAAATTTTCTTGGAAATTTTCGCAAGTACCATTTCAAATGTACGAGAATCCATTCTAAAATACTTAATAAATTTTTCTTCATCTTTCATTAGATGACGATACAGCGTATAATATTCGCCTTCAGTTTGTCTAGTTTTTAAACTTGGATGCACCCACATTTTTCTATTTATTTTTTTTCAATTTCTTCTGTTTTTTTCTTCTTCATCTAACAGAATAGCTATAATAGCTAATTCTTTATTTGAAAAATTAAATGGCATTTTTCTGATATTTTTTCTTTGGATTCGATCCGACTTGGAGCACGAACGATTCTAGACTGAACAGTGCTCGGGCAATCGTTCAGGACGCTAGATCTATAGGGGGTAAGATTTTACCGGACCGGGACCGAACCGAATAGTGTGGATCTAGTCGTACGGTAAGATATTACCGGACCGAGAGCGGACCGGGACCGAACCTATAGTGTGTATCCAGCCTTACTCGGCAGCCCAGAAATATTTATTATATCATACGATATATCAGCTATAACTCATAAGTATTCAATCATGTTTATTGGTTGCCACTTTCTGTTCACAAGGCTCCGTTCACAACTGCATATACGAGACTCCAAGAAAAGTCTATTAAAATTCAGTTAGAAGTGAATATTATTGATGTATTAGCTTAGGTTATGTTATGCAATTTAAATCCGGACGCCGAAAGGCGGCTGGTAACGCTTTCATGAAGTAATAATGTTGTTTAAATAATTGGTTAATCATTTCCCGAAACCGTGCCCGGCCGCTTTTCGACGGCCGGATTTAAATGTATAACATAGTTCTAGTTTTTAAATATATAACTTAATGCATCAATAATATTCATTTCTAATTGAGTCTGAATAGACATTTCTTAGAGTCTTGTATAAGCAGTTGTGAACGGAGCCGTTACGGTCCCACGTCCGTCGTTTCTGAACAGAAGGTAAGTGGCAACCAATGAACATGATCGAATACTTATGAGTTATAGCTGATATATAGGTACTAGAATAGATATTTCTGAGCCACCGTGTAGTGAAGGTCCCCCGTGTCTAAACAGAATATAAGCGAACGGCTACCGCTCATCAACACGAACGCCGAGTGTTCTCATCAACGCTCACGCATGAGCCGAATTCCCTGTAGTAGTAACAAAAGTTTTTCGCAAATGTCTTCAAAACTAAAGGAGTCTACCACATACTTCAACAGGAAAAAGTTGTTCAAAATTACACCCCCCACCACATATTCAAAAATTATTAAGATCGGAGTGGAAAGCAAACTTCTAAATAATTACATTATTTTTTTCCAAAGGTTTGAAGGTCATCGGTGCTTTTTTGCATTAATATTTCTATTTAAATGATCCATCTTGTATGTTTATATATGTATGAAATTCATACATGTACATGAATAAAAAATATGTATAGGTACATACATACATGTATATGACATGTCCGTCTTACATTATTTATACTAGTGGAATGCCCCGTGCTACGCACGGGGAATTAATCAGTTAAAGTATAAATTTGACTTTGCCCACCGTCCACCCCAAACTTCAATTCCATAATAGGTATTAAACAGGGTGTTTATGTAGAGGTTTTACTGTACTACTACTGTTTGTGTATTCGTCAGCTTATTTGTACTTTGCTTGCTACTTTACACGTACATATGGAAAATTTGACCTTTGCGCAGTCTTGAATCGTAAGAGATAGACGTGCGTAGTAAATTTTTACAAAGAAAGTTAACCAAGAAGAGCGCGACAGACCATTTTAAATGATGACGTAATTAGTTTTTATGTATCCCTTAAAAAGTGTCCGCCACTTTCAAAAATGCATCAATTTGATTTGTTAGAAAATTTGTTGCGTAGGATCTGCTATTATCTTATGGAAACGTTGACCCTTGCGCAGTCCTAAACTGTAAGAGATAGACATGCGCAGTAAATTTTTACAAAGAACGTAATGAAAGAAAATGTAGTTGAAGCACACACAATGATGACGTAATTAGTTTTTATGTATCCCTTAAAAAGTGTCCCTTAATAAGAGTTTTACTGTACTATCATTGTAAGAGTACACACATATAACATTTTTCTGCCTTGTTTTCGAGCATGCGTACAACGTCTCAGCGTCATTCACAGACATGTTTCCGCGTTATAATATGATGATACCGCATAGATTTCCAATAGATCAATTTACATTCCATATACGGTTTGTTTTTTAAAAATATTTGTTTCAGAGTTACCATTCTTCTACCACATACTTTCAAATTTTTTAGAATAGCGAACAAACCATAGAAAATACAAAAATGGAACCTCAGTAAAAATTGTAATACTTTAGATGCAGTTTATTTAAAATATGTGTAAAAAAATATTTGTTTCAGGATTATCGTTCTTCTACAGCATACTTCCAAATTTTTCAATATATCAAATAAATCATATAAGATACAGAACTGATTGAAGTACCACCTTTACTGAAGCAGAAAGTGTAACGTTTTAGATATGGTTTATTTAGCCATTGATAATAGTTTCCAAAAATTCTGAATATTACCGATAATTCAATTTTATGTATACTTTCAAATTAGAACATAGTGTACAACACGTAGAGTAAAGGTACGGAATGTAAGACATGTGTCTAATATTAGAGCCCATAATAGGAATTGTTGCTATGCTGAAGCAATGCTTACAATTATTAAGAAGGATAACAATATCATTCGCATTAAACTGTCATTCATACGGGGATAATGGTTTCAGTAAGACACTCACAAGTTTACTTGTTTTTAATATGAAATACTTTTACCTCATAAAGATTGAAAAAAGAAACAAATTATTGACGTAAATTAGTATCAAGTGTAACGTCCCAGCATAGGTACGTCACTGCACCGACGTATAGGCCGAGCGGTTCCCTCGGAAGGCGACTCGTATGTAGTAATAGGGATTATAGGTTCGCGTGGTAAGCGGTTAAGGAGTAAAATCCAGACATTAATGTACTAAACTACTAGTTTATTCAAGTAAGTAGAAACTGATAACTAAATATGCTTTCTCAACATATAAAAGAAAATAATAATGTCAAAGTTACAGTGTGTACGGGTTAAATAAGAAATACAATGAGAAATTATAATGAGTACGCCCTAAATGAAAAATATAGTAGAAAATATATACAGTAAAAGTTGGATATATGCAACAAAAGTTTGGCTGGATATATGCAACATCGCTATCCCCTCCACTTGGGGGGATCCCCCTAAGCCGAACCGAGCCGCTCGGCGAGGAAACCGTGTAATATGATCCGATCGTAATATCGGTGTGACTAATACTAATTGAACGATAAAACTTTTTTATTTTTAACTTTTTCTTAATGAAACATTTACTAACGCATTTGTGAGATTTTTCTGATTAAAATGGTACCAAACACGATATGATTTGAATTATATTTATTTATTAAAATAATAATAAAACTGTACATATGTATAAGGCAGATCGTACACCAAAGATACATCAAACACGCAACATGGAACATGCAACACGTCGCATGTTGTGTACGAACGTAGAATAGATATCGCGGCACGGTACAAACGATTTGTACGGACGCAGAATCAACACCATGACTGGATATATGCAACGTTTAAATGCCCAGAATCGACACCGCGGCTGGATATATGCAACATTAAATGCCCAGAATCGACACCTCGGCTGGATATATGCAACGTTTAAATGCCCAGAATCGACACCTCGGCTGGATATATGCAACGTTTGAAACCCGAGCCGACACCGCAACCGGTTTTCATTTCCAATCCTCCTTTGCTTTTCGCCAACTTCTAACATCAATTTTAACAAGTAATTATAATTCAAACTATATCGTGTTTGGTATCATTTTAATCAAAAATATTTCACCAATGCGTTAGTAAAAGTTTCAGTAAAAAAAAGTCAAAAATAAAAAAGTTTTATAGTTGAATTAGTATTAGTCACACCGATACGTTTCGGCTCTTTGCTTTGATCATCGGACCTCTCTCCTTCCACCACTGTCTGTCCTTTTCTACGTTCACGCTTGGTTGCTCGTCGCGTGTAACCCGAGATTAGACACCTCGACTGGATATATGCAACGTCTGGGTCCCAATGTTTGTTGCATATATCCAGCTTTTACTGTATATTAGTATGTACGCGGCTTAGTCTATAGATACAGCCAACACTCTGGATAATGACCAACCACACTAAGTATTGGAAGCTATCAATGTCAGTGACTTGTACAGTATCCTCAGACACGAGCGGACTCTTGCCTACAGGTCGCAATCGGTTTCTGGACTAGCCAGAACTATGTTAGTATAGGCCGTTTCAAAGAGCTCCGCTCCTCGCTAGCTCTTTACACTTGAGTATGAACTCAATACTAACATATGGTTAACACGTTGCGTACCATGAGTAGGGTGTCCACAGATCTGAAGAATTTCGTACCTCGTCACTAAAAAATAAGGATTATTTTACTCTTGTGCTCTATCTTTGCCTAAGCAAGTCAGCGCAGAGCTTTTCCTCTATTGCCAGAGTGGTGTCGGCATTCGACCGAAGTCGGAGAGGATCTTATCTTTCTCTGCGTGGAGCGCCTCTATTTATAGTCAGATTCTGCTGACCAAGCGTTTTTTTTTTCTATATAGGATTCCTTTTGTCTTTCGGAATTCCCAGTACGTGACTCCCGAGCATCTCTACTCCCTAGTCTATACGCGATCTCCCTACTCTATGATTTCACCCCACCGCGAGATCATCGATGTTCCGCTAATGCATACGTGGTCGCGCATCGATTAATTATCGATAATTTCATTTACCGACCGACTTACCGACTAGACATTTATCGACTTACTGACTAGACTGAATTATCTACAAAATATGAAATGAAAACTATTTTATTGTAACAAAATTTATAACACAAATTAAATTAAACATTTTTTATAAACTTAAATTAAAATTTGATTATTATAATAATAAAAATAAAACAAAAGTAGTTGCTTCGTTCAGAGGGACGTTACACAGTTGACAATGTAGAATATTTATTTTGTTGATGATTACTCTAATGGCCAGCTTATGTTCAGTACATCTGTACAAGTGCTATTAAGGGGGTAGACACGGGTAATGCAGCGATGTGACATTACCGGCAAATATGGGCCTATTAACGGGTTTACGGGAATCGGTTGTTTGTCCTTATATGAGAACCCTTGGAGGTGGGTGAGGGCTCATTCGAAAGAGGAAGGTCCAATGCAGGGCGGTCAACTCATGGTTTAACAAGATTGTGTCCATATTTAATAATATCAGTGTCGAAAGTAGAAGAAAAAATCGACA